TCCACCCTACAGCCTCCGATGCTGTGCCCATGGCTCCACAAGTCCTCGCCATGGGGAGTCCTGGGGACACAGAAATATGTCCCCAAGAGAGCAGGGCTCAGGTATGGTATGGCCCCAGGGGACTTTGCTGACCAACCCCTGGTACCTCCTCTGCCCCCAGTGCATCCACAGAGACCTGGCTGCTCGGAACATCTTACTGTCAGAAAGTGATGTGGTGAAGATCTGTGATTTCGGCCTGGCCCGGGACATCTACAAAGACCCGGACTACGTGCGCAAGGGCAGTGTGAGTGCAAGCCCCAGAGGGAGGCAGGGGCATGGACTCCTGTGCAGGAACAGGGACTTACCCCCATATATCCATGGAAGGTCTCAGGGCCGGTGCCTGCAGGGACCCTAGTGACCCTGCCAGGGCACCTGGGTCAGGTGAATGGAGGCAGGAGCAGATGAGCAGGGACTGCTGTGCTCTGACTGGAGCTTGTGTTCGGCCTGGGTCTCAGTCCAGTAGGTGGACCCTGACTCCCACGCCTGCCCTGTGGGGGCTGAATGTGCAGAGGTGGACGCCACATGGTGTCTGTCCTAGAGATGGACAGGCCTGGGGCAGGGGGTCACAGGGGTTCCTTGTGTATCTCAGTGGCACTCAAGCAGGCACCTGAAGGAGCAGCCAAAGCTGATTAGGGGTTTGCCTCCCAGGAGGAGGGCAGAGGAGGCAATGGGCAGGGTGGGTGCAGGCTGTGACAGGCCACCCTGCTGGCACATGGCTTTTGTCCTTCTTTTGAATGGGCAGGTATGTGGGGCACATGGAGGTGAGGCTCAGGTGTGTGTTCCAGAAGCTCCCTCTGCATCTGCTGAGGGGAGTAGGGGTGCTGGGGTGGAGGCAGAGGCCACTCAAGACGGGCCATAGCCCTCAGGACTCTCAGGCAGAGGCCATAGAAGGGAGAAAGAGAAACTATGGGGACACCCAGGAAGCACTGTGGGAGGAGGGGTCCGGAGGATGCGGGCTTCCAGTGTGGGGACCGAGTGAGCACATGAAGTGGGGACGGTGAGGGTGGCCAGGGACCCACGTCTTCCAGGGTCTGGAGGAGGGGGAGCAAGTGCTCCCCAGGAGCACCCAGGGGAAGAGAAGCCCAGAAAGAAGCCTTCAAGGGAGGCGTCCAGCACCACGGGATGGGGCAGGGGGCCCAACGAACACTCACAGGGTGGGTGTGGCCCCTGAGCCCGGGGAGAGTAGGGGTGGTGGAACTGCCTAAGGGTTTGGCCTCCTTCTTCCCTGCCCTCAACTAGTGGGGACACACTTCCCTCCACTTCCCATAGGCCCGGCTGCCCCTGAAGTGGATGGCCCCTGAGAGCATCTTTGACAAGGTGTACACCACCCAGAGCGACGTGTGGTCCTTCGGGGTGCTGCTCTGGGAGATCTTCTCCCTGGGTGAGTGCAGGCGGGGCGCAGGGAGGGGACAGGCAGGCCTGGTTCCAGGCCGCATGGTCAGCTCCTCTGCTCAGGGTCTGGGCCACCGGGGGAGGAAGCAGCTTAGGTTTCTGAGGCAGGTGGGTTGAGAGTCCCCACCTGCAGCCTCGGGCACCATCCTGGATGGAGCCCTGTCTTCACTCGGTGGCCCTGGGCTCCCCAGAACTTCCCCTCCCTGGCTGAGCCCCTTCCCCACCTCCGCTGGGCTGCCTAGAGGACACTGGGTGCTTGTCATGCAAGCCCCACATGGGCCACTGGGACCAAGATGGAGGTCCTGGGCTAGGTGCAGAGAGGCAGCGAGCACAGAGAAGCACCCAGTGGCAACCATGACAGGTCACTAACAGTAAAAGTGCAGAGCACAGGAGAACCGGGCTGTGCAAGCCAGGAAGGCAGGCTGATGGGGGACGTGCAGCAGGTGGGCCTGCCAGGACAGCCATTCTGGGCAAGGGCGCAGCCAAGCCCAGGGGCCCCGTGTCTTGGAGGCGGGCCAAGCGGGCGACAGGAGACACAGTGTGAGGTGCGACAGGGGGTCCACGAAGACCCTGCAGGCGAACCGGGGAAGACCTGGAATATGAATCCAATGGGGGCATGCAGGGAGGGCTTTGAGCTCGGGAGACAGCAGACTGGCTTCACCCTAAAAGGGCCATGCGCTGCTGTGGAATTGACCCTTAGGGGCAGAGGAAGCCCTAGAGGCCCTTAGGAGCTGCTTTTCCTGGGGTCAGGAGTGGTGAGGTCCAGGGTGTGTCTGCAGGCAGAGCCACAGGGTTTAGGGGAGGATTGGACAGACATCTCTGAAGAGGGGCCATCACTCGGCTGGCTCCACACAGCTCCCCCACCCTGGTGGTCCCGACCCTGGTGATCCTTGTGGCCGTGTTTTCATCCATTCTCCTCTCTGAACCAAATGAAGAACTAGTGTTGGGGGAGGGGGGAGCACCTTGGCCAGGCCCCCTGTGCACACCCAGGAGCAGCAGGACAAGCCCTCTGCCATGGAGGCCAGGACAGATTTGGGGGCCGGGCTGTGGGGGTCTGGGCTGAGCAGCAGGCACTTACTCCCCGGGTATCCCCACCTCCATCCCATTCCTGCCACCAGGGTCCTCCCCATATCCCGGGGTGCAGATCAATGAGGAGTTCTGCCAGAGGCTGAAAGAGGGCACCCGGATGAGGGCCCCCGAGCTGGCCACTCCCGCCATGTGAGTCCCCAGACCAGCCACGCGGGTGTTGGGGAGCCAGAGGGGCAAGCCAACATGGTGGGGCACAGGAAGGGCCGCCCACAGGTGGAGGCAGCGGGGTGGACTGTTGTGCAGGCAGAGCTGGCAAGTGGGACAAGGCGAGGCGGGGGCTAGGGTCTGCAGGCGTGGGTATGCTCAGGCCACAGCCCAGCTCCGCTTTATCTGTAGATGCCACATCATGCTGAACTGCTGGTCGGGAGACCCCAAAGAAAGGCCTGCATTCTCAGATCTGGTGGAGATCCTCGGGGACCTGCTCCAGGCGGGCGGCCGGCAGGTGAGCCCCCCTCTCTGCCCTGTCCTGCTGAAGCAACCTCTGGCCCACAGTCGGAGGCCATCGTGCAGGTGGTCAAGCCCAGGCTGGTCGTGCCGGGCCTGCAGGGAGCCCCTGTCCGAGGTAGAAGAGCAATGTGCAGCCCCAGGCCCTCTACCTGCCCTTGACTTATGTCTCCCTCCATGGTGTGCACCCGGGGGCAGGAAGCAAAGCCAGCTCAAGGCCACACAGGTACCCTAGGACCTGGAGGAGGGAGCAAGCAGCTGCTTGTGGCCTCAGCCTTAAGTGCTAGGGACAGGCATGCATGTGGAGTCCATTTCTGCCCCAAGTGAAGGGGGCATGGTGTGAGGACACCCCCACTGTCCCTCCTCCTCCATAAGCCAGCGCCTGGGAGGGCTGGGGGGAGGTCAGAAATTGGCCCAGCAGGCTCATTTAATCCCTGCTACCTCAGAGCACAGCACTTCACAGGAGCCCCTGGAGTAGGGGTGGGTGACCAGGGCCCAGTGGACTCTGAGCCAGCTGCCTCTGCCATTCCTGCAGGAGGAGGAGGCCTGCACAGCTGCCCGCAGCTCTCAGAGCTCAGAGGAGGGCAGCTTCATGCAGGCGTCCACCACTGCCCTGCACGTCGCTGAGGCTGACACAGACACTGAGGACAGCCCAGCGAGCCTGCATCGGCACAGCCTGGCCGCCAGGTCAGCTGCCCTCCCTGGGTCTGGGGTCTCCCAGTAGGGCACAAACCCCCAGGTCCCAGGGCCCCAGCTGGGGACAAGCAGTTTGGACATGGCATGTTTTACCCTCATTAGTCATCAGGTAAAAGCAAACTACAAGGTCTGCAGAGACCATCTCTCGCCAACTCAAAGCAGCAATTCTAAGTGACAGTCTGGCATCAGGGACACTCCTGGTCAGCCTGCGGGCCCCGCCAGGGCCACACACCTTGTGACTTTGCTTCTCTCTGCACCTGCTCCGTCCATCTCCACCCTCCAGCTTCCTCTCCACTCCCACCCGCAAGCCCCTGGCTGCAGTTTCCAGGGAGCCCCATCTCGGCACAGAGCCCGGGCAGGAGAGGTGGAGAGGGCTTCCGGGAGGTGTGCTGGGGTGGCCTTCCTAAGCACTCTGTTTTCTCCCTGCAGATACTATAACTGTGTGTCCTTTCCGGGGTGCCTGCCCAGGGGGACTCAGAGCCAGGGTCCCTCCAGGATGAAAACGTTTGAAGAATTTCCCATGACCCCAACAACCTACAAGGCCTCGGTGGTAAGTGGGGTGGTGGACCTGTGCGCCCCAGGTCAGGATTCTGGGCTCTCTGCAGGGGCAGGTGGTGGGAGCTCCTGAGGCAAGCAGCAGAAACCAGCTCAGGAGAGGGAGCTGACTTGAGACACTGAGTGCAGGTTGCACCCCCGGCGCGTTGGGGTCTGTGTTTCTGCCGCTGTGAGCTACTGTCATTCAGCCAGGGTTTTCCTGCTTGCTGTGCAGCCCTCTCTCCTCCAGCAGCACAGAAACCCAGTGGAAAGACAGCTCCTCTTTCTGGATGGTTCTGCTTGGACCGGCCCCTTTGGTGGTCCCCTATCACATGCCAGAGAGAAAGGGAGGGCATCCCTAGAGGAGGAGGCTGGGGTACAGGCACAGGAAGAGGGAACCTCACACACAGGTGAGCTGGAGCCAGTGTGTCCATCTTGCAAAGACAGCCTCCCAGCTCCACACAGCCTGGACCCTTCCTGTCCCACACCTGGATGGGCCTGTGCCAGAGGCACGCAGACCCAGACTCATGTCCCCATGACCAGAAGAAGGCGTTGGGACCCCCAGCTCTGATAAGACCACAGTGCCCCTCCATGTCATTGAAAATGGAAGCCATGCCAGGCCACACATGGTCTAAGGGCGGGAAAGACCACCAACCTGGGCTGTGTCTGCCTGAGGACCTTTTTCTACCCTTTGAGCTGCCAGATCCTTTTGCCACCATCCAGGTGTCACCTGGTGCTCCTGCTCTGCCTACACCTTGCAGGTCCCCCAGCATGGGGTGTCCCAGCTTTGCCACCTCCTGAGCTGGGGCCAGGCCCGCTCCCTGCCCTGCAGTCCTCAGTTCCTCTCCCTCTGTGGTGGGGGGCATGTGACCCTCTCTTGCACACTAGGTTGAGGAAACGGAAGTCCGTTTCCCATTTACATCCCACAGGACAGGGTTAGGGGTCCATGTGGCCCATCCTGCCTGAGTGGCAGAGCCCACGGGCAGGCCAGGGAGACCCACAGCCTTGGCTGGTGCTCTCACGCAGGATAACCAGACAGACAGTGGGATGGTGCTGGCCTCTGAGGAGTTCGAGCAGCTGGAGAGCAGACACAGACAAGAAGGCGGGCTCAGGTAGGGCTCCGGGAGCGCCCTACCCTGCATGCACCCTGTCACTGTCTTCCCTAGTGCCGTTCTGGGTGTTCAAGGCAGGCCACCTGGGACTTGAAGCCTTTGGCCACCAGCTCCCCAAGGAGCCCACTCCCCCATCACTGTCCTGACCTAGCAAAGCTGGTGATGGCCCCACACTCCCCTTCCAGTTGACAGATGCCCAGATGCCATCTCTTTGTGAAATCGAGCGTGAGGCACATGTCTGCACCCTGCCCCCAGCCAGTGGAGGCCTCTGCCATCCCCAGGCCCCAGCACTTAGCCCAGTGGCCCCAGGACCCACAGATCACATGACCTGGCAATGGCTGGTGTCTTGTGTTGATAGGAATACGGTTACAGAGCAGTCCTTGTGCATGCCTGTGCAGAGGATGACCTGAATAGAAGGTCACCTCTATTTGCCCTAAAAGATACTCCCCCAAAAAACCTGCATATTTAAAATTTAAAGGGTATAGATAAGAGAGCTGCATGTCTAGCTGTTCATTTGATTAGCTGACTGGCACACGGCTGTTTGAATGAAAGCTGTTAAATACGGTATTACAGAAAACATTGCTCTTTCCTGCTTTCTGCAGGCCATGGTGTTCAGACCATTTGCTTCCACCTTTCACATCCATGTCTTTGTCAGGAGCCCCTTATGGGTCATCTGACAGTTTTCCAGAGCAAATCCTGGCTCTACCCACACTGTTTTTGAACCAATATATGATGTTGTCATTGAATATTTTACCCTAGATTGTATCGTATTAATACCACGTTAGGATAGTTGAGATCATTTTCCACCTTTCTAGTAGGTGTATTTGTGACCTCTTAACCAACTCTTATTTTCCCAGCAGTTTACAAAGAACAGGTTTAGCACAGGGAATGCTGAAGGATCTCAGGTCATTTGTGCAGGCATAAATACTGCATCTGTATCTTGTCCTTCTTTTGTTTGTATTGATCCTATCAGGTGATCTCTATTAGTAACCTAGCTTTGGAAAATTAATGCTAATCAAATTGATGGAAAGAATTCATGACTAATACTCTCTTTATCAAACAGTATTTCATCTCTCAAAAAGAGTAATTCCTAAGAGGGTGAGCCAGAGGATGACAGAACTATTTAAATTCAAATCTCCACACATCTTCCTAAAAACAAGATATAGAGTAAAGCCCCTCAGAGCCCATGCCTATGCTATAGTCAGGCGGGTAATTCTGGTCTTTGTGTGAGTAGGGAACTTAGCTCTGGGACCAGCAGAGCCATGCCTGAGCCACAGTGGGAGGAGGGTAGCATGGGGACTGCCTTGTGATAGAGGAGCATGACACAGACCAGGGTGCTAATGGAGGAGAAAGAGATCCAGTGGAGCAGAGCAAGTCTCCTGAGGCAAGCCTAAGGCACGGGGGACAGTCGCCTGGGAAGGCCATGAGCAGGAAGGGAGTGTGTATCTCAGTGCTCAGTGGTGAAGGAGGAAGAAAGTTGCAGAAGATCTATGGAGGCAAGATTGTATCAAGAATCCAGAAGACAGATACACAGCCAAGGGAACCAGAAGCTGTACCTCACAATGACAGCAACAGAGGGCACTATTCTGTGCAAGGTCCCTTGGAAACACATCATGGTGAGCCACAGAGCATGGCACTGGGCAGGTGCATGCACTTGACATACGGAGCATTCTCCAAACAGGTGCAAAGACAGAATGTGCCTTGGAGGAGTCTATGGAGGGAAAGGAGGAGGGAGTTTATCTGCCCAGCCCTTTCCTGTTTCCTGTTAACCACTGGGCCACATGCACACCACAGAGAGTTAACTCACCCTCACTTGCAGGTTGCTCACTGGCCTTTCAGTGGGATCCAGCATCAACACCCAGTAGTTTGTAGGTAAAAGAAAGATCTGGAGACTCCAGGCATGTGGTAGGTTGGCATGGCTGCATGGCAGTAGCCATGAAGGGGCCCACACTTCTGGCTGAGTGACTGGTTGGTCTCTGGTGATGATTCAATAGGGGACATGAATGAAGACTTTGGAAAGAAGGATGCAATTGAAGGAATTCAAGGTGAAACCAAAGATGTTGGGCTGATCCAGCCCTCCTCAGTGAAGAACCCTAGAAAGCCACTCACATCCCTAGCCTCTTGAATAGGGTAACCTGCTATTTCTGGTCTAGGAAATCCCAGAATGAATGATCATGAACAGGAAAAAGTACACACTATTTATACAGAGTTATTACAAGAATAAAGAAAATTAGAATGAAAACTTCTCAGTAGATATAAACACAGAGAAACAAATTAAGCAGAGAAAAACTGATACAACACTCCAACATGAATTAGGTGTACAATTAGACAACGAGCTGTACCATGACTGAGAAGTTGGAACTCAGGATGGAAATGGACAGTGTGAAGATATCAAATGGGAGCTGATTAAATCCAGGAAAGAAATGGAAATAAAAGGCACCTTCTCTCAAAAATTTAGACCAGTGTGCCCAAGGAGCAGTAGATATGGTCAGACTTATGTAGAGAACACAGAAGGTGGACATGAAAAGAGTTGAGAAAATATCAAAGAGGTATGAAGGGACAGAAAGAAAGTGATAAATGTTGAAGTTGAGTAGAAAAGATCCAACATATGTACAATTGGAGTCTCTGAGGAAGAACATGCTGTCAGTGGAAAGGAACTAACATTTCAAACTTGTTATTCAAGATAACCCTCTTAAATAAAAGAAGACCTGAACTGGCATATTGGAAGGGAGCCTGGGAAAACTGGCCCAAAACAGTAAACTCTGAGACATATCCCAGTCAGACTATGACTTAAAAGGTACACATTTAGGGAATTCAAGAAAAAAGACCAAGCGACTTGCAAAGAAAAGAGGAGATTGACATCAGGTTTCTCAGTAGCACCATGCGAAGCAAGAGCAACAAAGCCACATTTTTCAACAATTTCAAAGGCAGTGGGAGTCTAATGGGGAGCAGGCTGAGGCCATCAGGAAGGCAGATGGGTCTGGGCTCTCATTCCAAGAGGGTTGGGAAGGCACTGGAGGGTCTGTCAGGTGCAGAAGGACATCATCTAACTTTAAGGACCTCTGAAGAGTGGCTACAGGGAGGACAAGTGGGAGGAGGGACATGCTAGAACAGTGCAGAGCGCAGCGTGATGGCAGGAGGGCCAGGACATGGAGAGGCCAGGGCGCACTTTGGAGTTTGAACAGACAGGACTTCTGATGGATTGGATGTGAGGAGTGAGGAAAGGGAGGAAGCAAAGGTGACCCTCAGGGGCCTGAGCCATGGCATCCATGGTGGTACCATTTATGGGGATGGACAGTTTAGGGGATGGAGCTGGCATTCTGCGGTGTCCATGCCCAGGCTTGTATCAGAGAAGGCTCCAGTTTTTGCCAAGTCAGATCAGTCTGCTTTGCTGTTTAAGTTTAGTCTGGGTGTGTTTCTGTTGGCTTTGCACCTGCTTAACTTAATGCCTCAGTTGTGTCTTTGATGATTCTGATCAGACCCCAACCTGGGTCTGGTCCCTCTTCTTCTGTCACACCACCTGCCCTGTCTCAGCAGCTGTAAAGGACCTGACCAGAATGTGGATGTGACCAGGGCCCACCCCAACTCCCAAGGACGGCAGCGGCAGCCGGACCCGGGCGCACAGGGAGGCCAGGTGTTCTACAACAGCGAGTATGGGGAGCTGGCAGGGCCACACAAGGAAGGCGACAGCGCCCCATCCACCCGTGCACCCTTCCTCACAGATGACAGTTACTGAGGCAGCCCCAGGCAGGGCCCCCACAACCCTGGGCTCTGACATCTATTGGGGGCCATGCCTGGTGGGGTTAGCAGAGGGCTGGAGGTGGGCTGGGAACTCCTCTCCTTTAGGAGTTTCCTCCTCCCTACCTAGAAGAGCAAACCCCAGGCTCCAGGGCACCCTCAGCCTCTATCACAATGCCTGCCCAGGGCCCTACAGACCTGGGTCCTTCTCCAGATTCAGATTCCATTCAGCTCACTATTCACAGGGGGCAGCCCTGAGCTGGGCACTCCTGTGGGGAATGTCTCTTTGACTGCCTACCCCCACAGAGGGTGGGGATGTGATCCCCATGTTCTGAGGAAGGAGTATGAGGGTCTGAGGGTCACACAATGATCATTTAGTTGTGGTCTCCTAGCCTCTGTGCCAAATGATGCCCCCTCTGTGTAGCCCTCCCTTCTGGTGGGGAACAGCTTTCTTCACCTGCCTCTCCAAGACTGAAGAGGGGGCACCAGATTTCCATCTCAAAGCAACAAAGGAGCAATTGGTGGGGGGCCTCCCTGGAGCCGGGCAAGCAACTGACCACCTTAGGGGCAGCTGCCCTGCAGCACCGAGCCAGTTACAGCCACTTTCCCCTGATTGCCTAGAACTATTCAACAGATATTTTTTTCATTAGAGCTTCAGAGACTATGTGAGCTGCTGTGAAGAATTTACTTTTCAAAACTTTGGTCTGAAGGGAGTCCAGGGATGGGCTTTCTGAATCTAGATGACTTGCCTCTGATCCAAACGGGATGCCATAGCTGAAGCCACCGTGAACACCTCTTCTGCGGCAGTCCCCAGCCCCACCTGCAGGGACCAGGACTGGGAGAATCAGAGATGCCCCATGTGAGAAATGCTTGTTCTTCCCTCAGGGGCCTGGATCTGCCCCCACAGCCACTGCTCAAGTCAGAATGGCTCTGTGAGATGTGAGCACCGTGGGCTACCCTGAGGAAGGCTTGAGTTGGCCCAGAGGACCCACCAGCATTGCTCTGTGCCAGGCTGCAGTCAGCATTCCTGTGGCTCTGGGGGGCCTCTGCCCTCCCACGGGAGTGACCAAGAGCCCTCTGGGGGCTGGAGTTGTTCTGCCCAAGCCACACGGCAACCCAGCTCCGTTGCCCAGTCACACCCCACCTGGGCAGGAGAGGGACCCTCTTCCAGTTATCGCCACGGACACTGACGCCCACCCCCACCCATGAGATGCTTGCGGGACAGGCGGCCGTGCAGCCAGCAGGACTTGCCCGGCAGACCCCCTCCCACCCACTGTGTGTCAGTCCTTTAGGACACATCAAGTGCACATGTGACTTATATCCTCATCATACCCAGGGGACTTCGTCCTCTGATGTCACCTGACTGGGAGACTGAGGTCTCAGGTTTACCTGGTGGGCGTTCAGAGGCTGTTCCCAATCAGAGGAGCGACCTGCGTGATGCAGGTGCAGGCTGGGCCCACTGGCCCCTCCCACGTGCCTGCCACCTTTTGGTGTCACTCTCTCGTCACATAACTGTGCACATAAAAATGTACCGGGAAAAAAGCCTGCCACACCCTTGTACACCAAGTGCCACATCATGTTAAAATATTTAACGGAAGATAATAATAAATTCAGTGCCAGTGTTTGAGTTACAGTGAATGGGCCATCAGTAAAACCCCAGCTTTCTGTGCAGGTTTGACTCCAGCGGGCCTCCCACTCAACCCTCGGCCCCACCAGGCCCTGGGACCTTTCTCACGGAGGAAAGGGCAGCGTGGAGCTCAGCCCCACCCTCCTCTCCAGGGGGCTGCAGAGACCCCCAAGGCAGAGGGTGCTGAAGCCCCGGGACCCCTGGCTCCTTTGCCGACCGCTTCATAGATAAAGTGACATGCACTTGTCCCCACCTACAAAGGCCAAACACTCAGGTTGAGCCCGGTGGCCATGGGCCTGGAAGCTCTGTGAGTTCCTGCCATCAGCCCCACAAGGCTCACCACACTGATGGGTGCCTCCGATCACCCCCATCACCAGGGGGTGGCCCCGAGGGGTGCAGCATGCCCAGGGTCACCTGGTTGAGTGTGTGCCCAGATCCCGGGGTCAGGGAGGTCTGAGCTGGGACCCCAGCTTCACTGCCTGCTCAGGGATATGTGCTCCGCCAGGAGAGCAGGCCAGCCTCCACAGCCCTGCCCTGCAATATGTGTGCAATTGCCCTTCAAGTGAACGGCCGGCAGAGAAGGCTGCAGACTGGAGTGTGACTGGCCATTTGGATGCGGCCTTAGCAGGCTCCCTGGGAGGGGCCCAGGAGAAGTGAGCAATGACCCCCAGGCCCAGGCACATGTGGGCCAGGCAGGGCTGTGCACACAGTCCAGGGAGCAGATGGGAGCCCAGCAAAGGTCAGCAGCCACCCCATCCTGGCCTCCTCCTGGGGAGCCTGCTGGGTGTCAACTCCCCATGCCCCTCCCCCAGGCTGTGATGCCAGCTGCCCCACCTCCTCACAGCTCCTGAGAGGAGACCTTCCACAGAAACAGCTGGTGGTGGTGGGATTGTGGCTCCTCCTTCCATAATCTAAATGTGAATACAGGGAAGACCATCTCCCCAGCTAGGTGTGGGTGTTTAACTACTATGTTGTTGGCTGAATTTAGCCATTTTCCCTGCATGAATGCCTCAACCCAGGTGTGGGCCACCAGGGGGTGCCTGCTGGGTTATCCAGGCAAGTGTACCCACCTGTGGAGGGACCTGGCACCCCACTGTGAAAGTCCCAGGTGGGGCCACACTCACAATTCCGGGTTCCTGTGTTCCCACCTGGGCTGGGCCCTCAGGGCCACGCTCAGGCCCCAGTCCCGCCCTCACTCCCCAGACCACAGGGGCCCCAGGTATGACTGGGAATGGGCCAGCAAGGGGAATGTGGGGGTGTCCCGCCAGGCCACAGTGTGTCCACCTTGGGCTCCTTCGGCCTCTTCCACTTCCCAGGAGCCTTCTCTCTTCTCCTCTCAGGTCCCAGCCCCTCATGGGGTGCCCCCCTGCCCCACATCCCACCTCCCCTCCTCCCCAGCCCCACCCTCCTGTTCCTTTCTGCCATGGGGTCGTGAGTCACCTCCTTTAGGAGACATCAGGCCAAGAGCATGCTCTGGTGTCCCTTAATGGCATTGGTTCTGTCCAGATGTCACCACTGCCCCTCGGCATGCCACGCTACAGGTCAAGGATCCACACATACCCAGGAGGCAGCCTTCCGGGCCCTGCTCTGAGCCACTCATGGTCTGAGGCCCTAGGATACAGCAGAGTCCCCATTCCCACAGAGCTCACAGGCCAGTCCCTGCAGTAAGGAGTGACACGTGCGCGGAGCTCCACACCAGAGGAACATTGGCAGCAAAGACCCTGGGTCAGAAGGAAGAGTGAGCCAGGAAGCAGTGCGGAGGAGAGGTCAGCAGAGGCCATCCTGCAGGGCCTGGGAGCCCACAAACTGTAGTTGGCTTTAAGTCCAGAGGGAAGTTTTGAGAAAGGGTTGATGTGCTCTGACTTAATTTATGCTATGAGAGACATGCATCTCAAAGGAGCAGAGTGGGTTCCCCAGAGCTGGGTGGGGCCTTGGGGGCAGGTTGGCTGCACTCGGGCTGGGGTGCCGGGGCTCTGGAAGGCCAGAGACTCAGGAGAAGAAGAGGAACTCAGCCATGAGTTGGGTCCCTATCCAGGCTGGATGTGTGGAAAATGCTTTTCCTAAGCAGGCTTCTGCAGATGCTGGCCATGCACCCCGCCTCACCCACATCGCTTAAGGCCCAGGGGAAGACTCAGGAGACAAGGGCAGGAGGGGGATGCAGGGCCTGACCCACACCCAGGGGTCTTCCTGGTTTCCTCGGCTCCGCAGAGACCCCCAGAGGGGAAAGGCCAGGACTCCAGCCCTATCAGCACCCTCATACCAAAAGGGGCTCTGGCCTTGATGCTCAGCATGGTGGTGGAAGCCTGGGAAACGGCTTCCAGCCCCAAACTGGCCCTCTGAACCCTGTGGTGTGCCTGCACCAGGTCCCAGCAAGTCCACACCGACTTGTGAGGTCAGGCACTCAGCCCAGCCCAGATTATCAGCCACAGGGCATGTCCAAAGCCCTGGCCAGTGCCCACAGCACAGGCTCTTCCCCACCAGATGTCTACATGCAGGTTTGGAGAGAGGACGGCAGCATCAGTGGGAGGGAGGCCTGCCTTGGGACCAGAATGAGGCTGTGCTGCCCTGGGCTGTCAGGCAGAGAGCCTGGGCCGCATTCGCTTCTGGGGGCTGCTCAGGGCTGAGAGTGGAGGATTTGGCACCCTGAGGCTGGGTGACCCTGGGTCAGGCACTGCCCCTTAGGGCTTCAGTGCTCATCTGTGATTTGCCAAGCTTTGGTGATGAGGTAACAGTTGAAATACTCCTGGGAGTGACCACACTGAGGAGAAAACTCTGCCCCTACCAAGCCATGTCCTCAAAAGCAACATTAAAAGTCAACTGGGAAAGACACTGTCTCTGACCTCTTCCTTCCATTGACTCATCCACCTACAAATCCCCCAGATAACCTACTGCCTCACCCACCCATCCATCTATCCATCCACACATCCATATGTCCATCCATTCATCCACCCATCCATCCGTCCATCCATCCATCCATCCACACATCCATCTGTCCATCCATCCATCCATCCATCCATCCATCCATCCATCCATCCTCCCTCCCCATTCATCCATCCATCCATCCATCCATCCACACATCCAGCCAGCCAGCCAGCCACCCATCCATCCATCCATCCATCCATTCACCCATCAATACATCCATCCATCCTCCCTCGCCATCCATCCATCCATCCATCCATCCATCCATCCATCCACCCATCCACCCATCTGCTTGTCCATCCATCCATCCATATCCATCGATCCATCCATCCATCCATCCATCCATCTGTCCATCCACACATCCATCCACACATCCATCCATCCATCCATCCATCCATCCATCCACCCATCCACCCATCTGCTTGTCCATCCATCCATCCATCCATCAATCCATCCATCCACCCATCCATCTGTCCATCCACACATCCATCCATCCATCCATCCATCCATCCATCCACACATCCATTTGTCCATCCATCCATCCATCCATCCATCCATTCATCCATCCTCCCTCCACATCCATCCATCCATCCATCCATCCATCCATCTGTCCATCCACACATCCATCCATCCATCCATCCATCTGTGCATCCACACATCCATCCATCCATCCATCCATCCATCTGTCCATCCACACATCCATCCATCCATCCATCCACCCACCCACGAACCCACCCGGCCATCTGTCCATCCATCCATCCATCCATCCATCCTCCCTCCCCATCCATCCATCCATCCATCCATCCATCCATCCATCCATCCATCATCTCTACCCATCCATCCATCCATCCTCCCTCCCCATCCATCCATCCATCCATCCATCCATCCTCCCTCCCCATCCATCCATCCATCCATCCATCCACACATCCATCTGTCCATCCACCCACCCATCCATCCTTCCTTCCATCCATCCATCCATCCATCTTCCCTCCCCATCCATCCATCCATCCATCTGTCCATCCATCCGTCTGTCCGTCCGTCCGTCCATCCATCCATCCATCCATCCATCCATCCATCCATCCATCTGTCCATCCATCCATCCATCCATCCATCTGTCCATCCATCCGTCCATCCATCCATCCATCCATCCATCCACCCATCCGTCCTCCCTCCCCACCTATCTATCCACCTGTCCATCTGCAACACTTGTCTACCCACATAAACACCCCTCTCAGAAACCAGAGAGAGACCTTCAGGGGCTGCATTCATGGAGGATGGGGACAGAGACATTCTCAGCTATGGGGGGCCTTCTATGAGAACAGGCCAGGGGGACTGGGGAAGATTTGGGCCACAGTGATGTTAACAGGGGAAAATACATTCCCTGTATAAGATCAAATGGGGGGTTCTGGAAGTCAGCCAGCAGCCTTTGTGGGTCTGCTCTCCATTACTTCAGGAGCAGCTGGGGGCAGCCAGCACTGCAGGGTGAGTGAGTTACTCCTGTCCTCGGCCACAGCACAGCCAGCATTTGCTGTCAGACAGAGACCCCCTTACTTTCCAGCTGGAGCGGGAGGTGACAATAGTTGGCTATAAGTCAGAGGCGGGGGCATGTATGCACAGGGGTGACTGCAGAGGCTGGGAGAGAGGACCCAGGAATCTGGAAGGCAGTGGGGCGGCATCCTTGAAGGCCTCACCTGCTCCGAAGCACCACCAGAAGCCCGTCAGAGCTGGTTCGCGTGCAGCCGGGCAGCTGGGTGTGGCCCTCTAGAAGGGGCCAACTCTTCCTCTCAAGAAGGGAGGGCCTGAGCCCTTGGGTACAGCAGGTGTCACATGCCCTCCAGGGATTCTAAGGCGGGAGTAGCAGATGGGATTTCTTTAAACACTTGGGTTTTAAGCCGTTGAACCAGCTTCAGACAGCCTCACTTTGGGATGGCAGTGAGGACGTCTCTTTGTGGGAAGGGACTGGCCTGGAGTCGGGGCTGGGACATGCCCCGGGAGCTGACCCGACTCCCACTCTCACCGGGCCACCTTGGTGCTGCTCAGTGGGGGACTTTCCAGTCCCAGAGGCACCAGGCATGGAAAGGGCCTTG